GTAGATTCCGAAGATGCGCAGGCGGGAATAGAGAGGAGGGGAAAAAAGAAATGATGGCACCAAAATAACCCTTACCTCAAAATCCCTAAGAACATGCAGCATAATCCCAGAGTTTCTTGTGATACCTTCTCACCACCAACCTGTTTTAAAGCTTTTATTGCCTCTGGGGTCACAGAGGAGACCTCAGCTCTGGGCAGGGAAGGAGCTAAGAATCTAGAATTCAAAGGCACGTGCCTATAACCTCTGCAGCAGTCCTGCTATCTGGGATCAGAGGCAGAAAACACATGGCAGCCCATCTTCTCCTCTCAGCCCTCTAGGCAGAAGAACAAGGGCCTAGGTCTCCCCCAATACCGATAGTGGTTTCTAAGAACCTGGCAGTTAATTGTATACATGACCTTGAGTCGAACAAAATTGAGCCATGAGAACTTGCAAACTATCATCAGTCTTCAAATGGTACCGGCCATATTTCTTTCAAGATTCTCAAAAGACAGTCACACTACTCACTTGGGACTCAAGGTGGACAGAAAAGGCCCTAGATGCAGGCGAAAGGTAAGCTCACGATCCTAGAACCTTCGACTTCTTCCCGCATTCTTCCACACACCTGGGTTTTGCCTTCCCTTCTACTCAGTCCCAACCCCAAAAGTGAACTTGTGAATCCTGCTTAACGAGGAGAAGTAGATGAGTTTGAGTTAATCCTGACAGTCACCCATGCTCGTTTAGAGCTTACTTCAGGCCAGGCACAGGTCTAAGTGCTTTACATGCATTTTCTCACCTAATCCCCACGATAACCCTATAGTTTTCCCATTGTACACATGGGGAAACTGAGGTGCAGAGAGGTGAAGTTATTTGCTCAAGATAACCCAGCTAGTAAAGTGCCAGAAGTAGAGTTTGAACCAGCAGCCTACCTCCAGAGACCATGCTCTCTTTCGACTTAGAAGCTTCAATGATGGAGGTGAATCAGGGCACAGATCACCCAAAACAGAAGGAAATCCATGATTCTTGTGCACTCATAATGCATAATGTGATGTTTTGCAGCAATTTTTCCTTTCCAATAATGATTTGCTAATGCTAGTATGTTTGGTTTACATGTTGTTAGCCCACCTCAGCCAGTGAACGGGGGTGCAGCAGCACTTGGCAGAACAGGTCACACTGAGGGTATAAGCAACATCACAGGGGTGGCCACTTGGCAGCCTGAGTGGATGCACATGAGACCAGCCCCGGGAAGGCCAGAGGAGAGGCCCAACTTCCAAACGCAGAGGCTGGGATTTGAAAGGGGAAAACCCACTACATCTGCAGGATTTAAGGATGCCAAGGGAAAGCCTTCTATCCCCCCAAACACCGTCCTTTCTGGGTGATCAGCCCTGCTTGTCTCTGAGGAGTTGGACATTAAGAGGTTTGGTTTGCCATTTCAAGGAGAGCAAGGAAAACCCTCTCCCTAACCTTGCCTTCTCCCCTATTATTTGGGACCTCATCAACCAGGGAAGGAAGGAGTCACAGGTATAGCCTGGCTCCAGGTTAAACTGATTTCATAATAGAAAAAGTCTATGATTTTTCCCACTCTCCTTCTTCCATTACACCCACAAAATCTGTATTACCTGTGGTTTCCAGCAAATGAGGAGGTGGGCAAGACAGGTTTTGTGTGTGTGTGTGTGTGTGTGTGTGTGTGTGTGTGTGTGTGCGCGCGCGCGCGCAAGCGAGAGAGAGAGAGAGAGAGAGAGAGAGAGAGAGAATACTAAGCTCTTATACTCCAGAGAGTGCAGGGGGAAAAATATTCCTCCAGGCCCTGCCCACATAGGGGTTTGGCAGGCATCTAAATGGAGAAGATCACCTTGTTTCTGGGGATGAGTTTGGAACAGGTGGGAGGAAGGACTGGGGAGGGTGGGGGAGGAGGCGGGCCGAGGAAACGGAGAACTGAGAGCTGGATCTGAAACCATCTTCATGGTCCAGCTTGGAGACTTGACGGGCTTGTGGGCCAGAACAGTGGGAAGGTGGGTGGATGGACGAGTCAGGGTGAAAATCTGCCTCTTAAAGGGATCCTGCCACCCACCCCACCCCCAGACATGCTCCCTCACCCCTGCATTCTAGCTGTGTGTAAATCTCCTCGGGCAGAGTCCATGGTAGCCCTTGGCAATAAAGCAACTGGTTGGTCTCTGCAGCCAGTAGAGGCCCTGATGTGGGCCCACCAGGTATCTTGCCAGAGACAGAGGAGTCAATGAAAAGCCTCAGTAACACAGCCTGGTGAGGGCAGGGGTGAGGCGTGAGGTGTTCATCTTGAGAGGGCCCAGCCAGTGGAAGCTGGCCATGGAAGGTTGGGAGAGGACCGTGGTCAAGGAGGAATGGGCCAGAATGTGTTTGCCCTCCATCTGAATGCACACAAAGAAATCCTAGAGAAAGAGTGATGAGTGATGCCCAACTGGAGGTTGGCAGGATCCCTTTAAGTGTCAACCCATCCCCTGGTGCTCACCAGCTGACTAACCTGTGTGTTTATTCTGGCCTTTGCCCTACTCTCTGCTTTCCTTCCCTTTTCACCTCTCTCAGAGGCATTGCAGACCAGGCTGGCTGACCCATTTTGTTTCAGGTCTCTGGTGAACGAGAAGGCTCCAACTCCTCTTCCTTTCCTGAACGCTGAGCCCTCCTGCTTCCTCTCTCTCCTCTTGCCCAAATAATGTTTTGTTACTACCTTTTCTAGGCTAGATGCTGAACATTCCTGGACTCTGCTCTCGTTCCTGTTTCTCTCCTTTTTTCCTCAACCCTACCTCTCCTTCCCTTCTGAAATAGTTCTCCCCAAAAAGATGGTATTCCCATCTAGAGAGACTCTCCCAGTGTTTTCCAAATTCTAAAACACATGCATATTTATAGTTCATTTGGAGTCTTCACTCTTTACCTCCCTTCTTTCAAAATCTGTCTTCTCCCTTTGCCCTGTGAATTCTATCTAAGAACCTGGGAGGGAATTGGTTATTTCCTGCTCATAACATGTGACTTAAATGGGAGAGAACAGTCTCCTTCTGCCTCAAAGGCTCTAGTATATTCAGAAACTATTCTGGGAAACCAACAAGAAAGCCATGATTTCCAGCTGACCCTCACCTAACCCACGCCCTGGCCAACCTCTACTTCTCTAGTCTAGCTGTCCAAAGTCTCCGCGCTGGCGTTTCTGTTTTCTTTTGGCAGAAATGCCTGGGAACCAAGAGGCCCCTTTCCCTGTGACCTGACCTCCCACACTAAGAATAACAGCCCTAGGACAGCATGTCTTGTGATCCCTCTGGAAAGAGGGCATGGCTGGGAAGTGGGGAAGTTAAGGGAGCTGGATAGAGCCAGGACGATGGAAGAACAGACTCTTGGCTCTTACGAGTAAAATATCAAAAGGGAGAGTTGGCAGTCTTCAAGAGAACTGGGGAAAGAGATCTGGGAAACTCTCAGAGGACCCCTAATACTTTCATACTCACTCCCCAGCCTCTAGAATCCCATCTCTTGGAGGCTCCAACTAGTGGCTCAGAGAATAGGAAAATGCTGAACAAATGTGGTGCAGCCCTGTCTTGTCTCCTTTGCAGAACATTCTTTGAGAAACTGAAGAAGCAAATATAATGTCCTTTTTTAAAGAAGATAAATATCTTTAGTACTAGGTCCTTTCCTTTCCACCCCTGGGGAATATGACTGTCCTGTTCCTGGGGTTGCCTGAACTGTGCACATAGACCCCCATGTGGCCACAGAGCAGTACTTTCTAGACTCCTGCACCTCTCAGAGAGGCAGGTGGTCCAGACCCAAGACACCTGTCCACTCTGTGAAGAGTCCACCCTCCCAGGACCCCTAGACTCCTCTAGGACATCTGGGACAGCCTATCCTTGGGTTGACTCATCATCCAAAACCTCAAAATAGTCCTCAAAACCATTTCTTCCCTTATCCAAATATGGTGGAACACCAATGAAATCCATGCACACAGGGTGAAGTGGTGAAGTCTGGACACTAGCCCTCCCACTCTGTGCCATAATCTCCCTTCCATGGCACCACTGCCTCCAGTCCCTTCCTGCGAAGCCTGCGTCCCCATTCCCTCTGCCCAGACCACCCCTATCAATCCAGTTCTCAGGCTTTGATAATTTCATTCACTTTGGGTGACATTTGCATTTCAACAGGACCCTATATCAAACTGATAGTATTAGGAGAGGAAGCTGGGGGAGGTACATAGGAGATACCCTTGAAAGCACTGTTTAGGGCCCTATCTGACATTACTGAACTAGAAGACTGACCTGGACTCTGTCTCCTTTCAGTTACTAAAACCTGTGCCAGAACAGAGCTGTCCCTGGAAACACCAGGGCATGTCCAGTGCTGGAACAGGGGTGACCCTGATTCTAGCTTCATAGAGTCCAGCTTATTAGAGGTATTGTTTTCATGATGCAGTCCTCTCATTATTGCCAAGCTTTACATGAGTCACTGCTGAGCCCAGAGGAACATGGCCACCCTTCTGGACCACACTGCTGTGGTTTTCAGGGCCTTTGGAATTCCCAAATCATCCACAGGACCACAGTCCACTCATCTCAAGGGGACCACACACCTATGTCCCTCCTGCCTCCACCTGTGTCCCTCCCTGCCTGCAGACAAGCCCTTCTGATGGAGGAAAACTGGGGGCATAGGAGATGCTGAGTGGGGACTGAGAAGAGAGTCCAACCATGTCCCTGCACCATTGTGACTCCCACTGCCTGTCTCCATGTCCATTTCTGCCCCCCGTGGGAAGCAGAAAGAGCCTTTGTGCAGGAGGGTGGTGATGTGGGACAGACCTGGAGGAAGGGGGGCCATGTGACCATGGGAGGGTGGGGCAGGAAGGTTGGACCAGCCGCCTCCCAGCCACCTGCTTCCCTCTTGGGCTCCTGGCCACAGTCAAGGGCACTCACAACTCCAGCAGCAACACTCAGGTACCCGGACGGTGATTCTGATGGTGATGTTGCTCTGTTCTTGTCTGTCTAATATTCCTTTTTAATCCCCATCCTGCCTGCCCCTCCCTTATGTAGGGTTACTTTAGTGATCCCTGGAATGTTTTTGACTTCCTCATCGTAATTGGCAGCATAATTGACGTCATTCTCAGTGAAACTAATGTGAGTATGACTCTGCCCTCCCCAGGAAGCCTCCACCTTCCTCCTCTGCCTCCTCTGTTTCCCTTTCTGTCTCTCTTTCTTTCTCTTTACCTCCTTTTATTTGTTTGGTTTTTTAATTTCCTGTTTTTACCCCCCTCCAGTCATGCTTTTTATTGAACCTGCCGTCGTCTGTGGGGGAAAAAAAGTGGGAGCTTCTCCTCCTTTTTTTCTGCTTGTCCCAGCTCCGCCCCGCTGTGCCGGGCCCAGGAGCCCGGAGCTGAGCGGAGGGGCAGGCACAGGGGGCTGCCCGGCCCCCCTCCCAGGGTGGCCCCAGCCCAGCGGAACCTTTGAACTAACCCAGCTTTTGTCAGCCCTCTCCGCCCTGTGAGAACCAGGTTGCCCAGGTTTGAGCCGCCAGAACTGTAGAGTGGTAAGAGAGTATTTAATATGCCCACGTAACCTCTTTCTTTTCTCATTTTTTTTTCTCTTCTCTCCTTTCTTTCATGCTTTTTTTTTTTCATTTTTTCCTCTTCTTTTTTGTTTTGTTTTTCTCCTTTGTTGTTGGTTTTTTTTTTTTTTCTTCTCTTCTTTCTCTCTCTTTCCTCGGCTTCTCTGCCCCATGCAGCACTATTTCTGTGATGCATGGAATACATTTGACGCCTTGATTGTTGTGGGTAGCATTGTTGATATAGCAATCACCGAGGTAAACGTAAGTACATGGCGTCTGTACCTGACTGTCCGTGCCTGTTCTAACACTCATTTGTCGTTCCCCGGTTCATTTTTTTAATTCATTTTATTTTCTCCTCCCCACCTCCTTATTTTTTCATTTTGTTTATTTTATTTGTTCGTTTAAAGAATTTGTTTCCTGTTGCTTTATTTTGATTTTTTTTGTTGTTTTTTGCTTTTTTTAACTTTTGGAACGAGTTAGATCTCCCCTTTCCTTTTTTGATTGCTGCATCTTTTCTCTTTCCGTTTACAATCAGCCTGGCATGACTCACACTGTATAGGAGGATGCAGCTATGGGAACCAGAGAGTGCCAGAACAAAGGGGTATTTACCACTTCTGGGCCACTGCTGGGGCAGGGACCCAAGCCTCTCCTCACCCCCGCCTTCACCTCCAGACTGCTGCCTTACCCTGTCTCACCTTCCACTCCCATGGCACCTTGGAAAGGAGCTCCCTCAAGGTGGACCACCAAAGTTAAGGCTTGGACTTAGCCTGCCTTGTCAGCCCAGGGACCAGCCCATTACAGTCAGACTGCAAGGAAGGGCTCCATTGCCATTTTAACGTCAGCAGCCCCTGCAGGCAGCCCAGCCCCCCAGGCTCCTTTGGGGGAAAAGAGGCGAACTGGCCATGGCGGCCATGCTGGGACTCCTGCTCAGATCCCTCTTCTCTGGAGTGGCAATAGAGCCAGGCAGTTGGGTGATCCACCGGGAGCTCTTCCCAGGGGCCTTCCTTCCACAGCCTTTCCTTCCTCCTTCCTCGGCTGTGGAAGGGGACTCTGGATGAGCGTCTCACTCCCACATGAATCTGCCCCGAGCACTGACTCTTGCACTTACCTGGTTCTCTCCCACTCCCGACCCCCTCACAACCCAGCCCCTGGCTCCCTGGCCTCAGACAGAACCCCAGCCCCTGCCCACCCCCCAGGCCTCCTGCCACCTTCTCCTGAGTTGCCTCCTCCTATACAGTTCCTTCCAGTTCCTGCACATGTCTTTTTGTTACCTGGCATGTTGAAACCTTCTCTCTTTACCTATAGGCAAGCCCTCTTGCGGTTAGTCTTTAACATGTGTCGTTTAATTTTTCTGTTGTTTTTATTTTTCCTTAATTAAAAGACTTGGTAATGTTTGCACAAACCTTTGATGCACCGAACCATTGAATAACAGCACGGAGCAGACGCTGTAGAGTTTTGATCTAAGATGTTTGAAAGTACCCTACCAATTGCCACCATCTCCCTTCTCCATCCTTACCGCTCTACTCCATATTTTGCTCCCAATCAGTTGAACTGACATGTTATCATACCTGCCTGATTCCCCTGACTAGAAGCCCATCTGCTCCCCTTCCAGCAGATGGATATTGGGAGGAGCGTGTTAATGCTTTCCCTACATCCCCCTCCCATCAACCTCTTACAACCTCCCTGCTTACCCCATAGCTACAGATTCGATGGTCCCTCTGTTTCCGAAATCCCCCTGCGTCGTCTTTGTCTCATGATGTGTGTGTGTGTGTGCATGTGTGTGTGTGTGTGTGTGTGTGTGTACATATTCTCCCTAGGCTTCTCCATGAAATTGTCAGATCATTAAAAAAAAAATCCATCTTCCTACTCATGATCTGTGCCTCCCCTCCCCTCAACACCTCCCACAACCACCCTCACCACTCCTGAACACACTTCAGGCCTTTCAGGCTACACGAGCTCTAAATTATATCTCAGGTACTATTCAGGTCAATGAGTCACCCATGCATGTCTAAAGGCCAGCACCTTTGTGCTTGAAGCCTATGCCATACAGTGCTCTCAACTGACGGAACATGCAGGGAGAGAAATAGGGAAGAGAGAGCAGCCCTGCCTTCAGAGGGTTTTGTCTTTGACACAGTAGTGCAGCTCCATAAGATCTATGCCAAGGGACTGAGAGCTCCCCCGGATGCCAGGAGGACTCATTGCAGCCCCAGGGGGGGTACCTTTTAGTTCTCACTATTGGCAAGGCCTATATCACTCAACCTGCCATTTTTTCCCAAACTATTAGTGTTTTTAAATGAAAAACAAAGCAAAAAACGTTTGCTAGGGCATAAAATTTCTACAGAAAAAGTGGCTACGTTGGGGATACAGAAGGAGTGTGCAAGGCAAGAAAGGAGCATGAAATCATCGTGCAGACCCTTACATTTATATGATGATTTTCTACTTACGATTCACCTGTGCATTTATCTCAGGTAATTCATAAGTGCCCTGTGAACTTCACAGGCAAGAATTATTGCCCCAGTTTGCTGACTGTAATGATGCTGACAGAGAGACTTAAGCACCATTCAGAGCCACACAGCTGGATCTTAGTCTCTTGGTGTAGCCAGTTCACTGTGCCCTGGGCCAGAGCTCCTAACTCTTCACTCCAAGATGCCTTGAACAAACACACATATCTCACATAACCCCCTCATGTGTAGTCCCACTAGCCAGGATTTATTCAGCTCTTACATTGTGTAATTTTTAAGTCATCTTTTTTATTTATTTAAGTAATCTCTACACCCCACGTGGGGCTCGAACTCACAATCTTGCAATCAAGAGTTGTACACTCTCCTGACTGAGCCAAGAATTTATATTTTAATTTTATATTTTAAATAGCCATACAGGGTTTTTTTCCATTTTCTAAACAAGGAACTATGTGTCAGAACTCTAAACTGAGAGTCCTGATGTACCTCTGACTCCTCCAGCCTCCCTTCACCCCACACTGAGATTCGTCTCACTCCTCCAGATTGAGGAATTTGTTAAAAGTCATACTGAAGGGTTGTATGGGGATCAAACGGGGACAGTGTGTATAACGGACAGTGTGTATAAAGAGGAGGTGTCCAGAGACCCACACCACACAATTAACGGCTCTGAACAAAGAGAATAAATGTAACATCACCCAAAGCCCAAAGTCAGTCAGGAAGAGAGGGCCAGACATGAAGTCAAAAGCTCTTCCTGTAGAAGTTACCAAAATGCCCAAAGACTTCGTTTCCTCATCTGTCAAAGGAATATGATGATATTTACTGCAGTGTGTTTTGAGGCTGAAATAAGAGCATCTATTTTAAAACTGTATGTAACTGTAAAGCACCACTGAGTGGGAGAGACGATGGCACCCAAGTAAATGACATTTTTTCCAAAGCCCCTACTGGAAGAGCTGGCAAGGCCTAGTCTCCAACCAGTTATATCTAAGTATAACTTACTACCCACAGACACTGCAAGGGCCCTATTTCCTGGGTATGCTTAAACTCTGGAACATGCTGGACAGATGCAGCCAGATGAAAGGAAGCACCGTGTAACTGAGCACCGCCCACAACTCAAGCCTCCATAGGCCTCCTCCACAGCATGGTCCTGGCAGGAACCTGATCTCAGGTAGCAGCCAGTGCTGTGGATGACAAACGAGCAATGATGTATAGTCTCAGAGGTAGGTCCCTCCACCACGTGGTTCTGCCTTCACGTCACAGGCAGCTTATGGGTCTGGACGCTCCATGGCATGAGGAAGTTCACAGCACCCAGGGCGGTTTCCCTGGGTGCCGCTCTAGGCCCTCCTGGAATTTTCTAGCCATATTGTCCTCACAAAGCATCCGTTCCCAGTCATATGTTCTATTTGGTGCTTTACAGTTACATAGAGTTTTAAATCCACACATTTAGCCTAAGAGGAATCCATGAGGGTTTTTCACCTATCATTCATCATCTTTGACTTTTTTAAAACTACAGAGATCAGCTCTTGTTTCCCTCACCAAATCCCTTATTTATCCTAAATGCCCTCAAATACTCCCTACATTTATACTTATGTCCCCACGAATGCTGTCTCTTTCCTCCTTGCCTTTACTACATAGGCCATGGTGCCCTTCCCTCTCAGGAAATGAGTTTTCCACCAATCCCAGGAGTCATCATTCATTCACTTCACTGTATTTAGAGTCTCACCTTCTGTGTGTCAGGCACTATTTTAGGCACCTAGGATACATCAGTGGGCAAAACAAAGCCCGTTGCTCATGAGCTGGCATTCCAGGATCAGGAATATTAATCAGACAGTGAGCAGAGCCGTAAGTACAGAAAAGAAGAATATCATACAGTGTATGAAATGATAAGTACTTTGGAAAAAACTGTGCCAAGTTAGGGGATCAGAGGTGCTGGGGAACAGTGAAGGCGGGTGCTGTCTTAAATAAGATGGGCTTCACTGAGGAGGGGATGTCTGAACAAAGCAAACATGTGAAGGAGGTGCAGAGCTACCCATGCGGATACCTGGGGGAAGAGCTTTCTAACAGGAGGAGCTGCCCCTGTGGCTGGTACAGAGTGAACAGGGGAGAAGAAGAAACAGAGGATTGGACAGGGGACCAGATTTTGGCTTTTATGCTGAGCAAGAAGGGAAGACACTAGTGCCTTTGAGAAAAGCTGTCCATGATTTGACTTACATTTCCAAAGGACCACCTTACTGTCTATAGGAGTTGAGAGTGGAACCCCAAACAATGCTGAGAAGGTAAACACAGTAATCCAGGTGGAAGGTGATGGCAGCTGGCGACAAAGCAGTAGCAATAGAAGTGGTAAAAAAAAAAAAAAATGGTCAGATTCTCAATCTGTTTTGAAAATAGAACAGTATCTCCTGACAGACTGGATGTGGGTGTGGGAGAAAGAGGCATCCAGGACAGCTGGGGGATTTGGGCCTCAGCAGTGGGAGGATGGAGTCGGTATCAACTGGGAAAGACAGCAGGTGAAGCATGCCTGCATGAGAAAGGCAGGAGCTCTGTGTAGACATCAGTAGAGATGTCAGGTAGACAGTTGGGCACAGGGTCTGGGGCCAGGACGTGGATTCAATGGCACGTAGATGCTATTCAAAGCCGTGACAGTGGTGAAGAGCACCAAGAGAGGGAGAAAGGCACAGGAAAGACAAGGACTGAGCTGGAGCCTCTGGCATGAAGAGGGTGCTCACAGCCACTCTGGTTGAATTTCTGTTCCCTCTGGAAGATGCCTGTGAACAAACACCAGACGTTACTAGAGGTAAATCGTGA